TTCCATTACTTCAGTGGGAATTGATTTGTCCCCATTATTCTTGCAATGTATTTGTATCAGCATATATTGAAAACAGTTGGAGTAACAGAGTGTAAAAAATCAGAACAAAACAAAAATCCAAATGCTTTCCTAGTCACTACAAAATTCTCATAGAAAGTGATCATACTGCCAGTCATTCATTAAAATGGCATCTGATATTTTGCAAAGTATAAACTACAGCAAAACAAAATTTCAAATGAAATGGAAATTAAAAAAATCTGCATATCTATTCCACTCTTCATGTGTTTTTCCCTGCTTTTATTGATTACCATGTTATACTGCATTTTTAGAACAAATGGTACTTATGGTGTTAGTAAATATGAAGTAATATTTTTTATATTTTCAGCCCTAGGACAGTACTGAAGATATTCATTACATTTTAAGAATATTGGCCAAAAAAATCAGCACAAAGTAATGCTTTAGATCTGTTAGAAAACAATATATATTGACTGGGAATGTGATGAAAAATATACAAGCATTTATGTGTGAGATACTAATCTATACATAAATTTTAAGAGACACCCCTTAGACTCCACGTCTTTTCATTTTTTTCACTTCTGGGTTTATTTCTGTTTTATCCACTCTTTTTCCTCAAGGGCCAAAGATACACTTACAAGTAGTTTTAATTTAAACTCTAGTTGTGATCAGCTCTGAGCTTTCGTACTGGCTGGGGACTGTGGCTTCAAGTTGTCAAATACCTTTGGCGAGCGCATACCGAGTGACACACCATCTGCACTGATTTCCCTGAACGACCACATCACATGAGTGTGCAAAGGTAACCAGACTCGCTAGCAGATACAGATGAGGAAAATTAAGCTAACACCTGTTCTGGGCAGATTGTACTTGCCCAGTGTGTTTATGGAACTCAGTTCTGTTTCATGCAGTAGCTATATTATTAAAATCTTTCACTTCATCTGGTAATTGCTAAAAGGTGAGTTGCCCACAGCAAACATTCACATTGGCTGAAATAGATATGATAGTTTGATTGCTGACACCGTTCCTGC